TAGTTGAACTTGAAATCGATCGTTGATTGAGATTTGCGACTTATGATGACACTGTTTTAAATGGTGTGGTGTGCCCCAGACGTCAAGCGCTTTGCCTAGTGTCGCTTTATAAATAGTCGAACGTTTGCCCAGGGTTCAAGGTATAAAAAAAGCTGAGTCATGGTGCATCGGCGATGCATGCAAATGAAAACCTTAACAGTTTAGTACTGTTTAAAAGTCTAAAAATAGATGAGACTAAAATGTTTACGTCGAGAGGATAGAATTATATATTTTATGATTTTCCATTTGTTCGCTTTCAAGTGTATTTTGGACAGTTACAGAATTCGCGCAATTTATACTACACGGATATAATAATTCAAATGTTTTGTTACTGATATTGGAAATCGGATTAAAGTTTAAGTGGCTTTTTAAACTTCTTGAAAACAAGGGAGAAATTGTCGATTGTGATCGACGATCGCTTGCTCCAAGTTTATTGTTTACGTTCTATATTACGTTATGTCCTCTTTTATTTAATTTTATTTTATTTCTCGCATTCGTCCTTTTCTATTTTCTTTTATAGGTTTCGAATAACGTTAGCAACTGTTAGCAGCAGCGCTTAAGACTGTGAGAAGGTCTTTTTAGTTAGATATGTTACAATTTAAGAAGATGGGTTCTGTCACTAAAAATTCCTAAATTAATCAGTTTTGGTTCTGGTCACGCAAGGAAGAAAGAGAGGCATCGCGTGTGATCCTGTTGTTCAACGAAAGCTACACCTTTTATACCTTTTCTGTGGTCCAAAAATAATCTAAATCTATGTTTTTGTTCTTTGATATGATAATATATATCATGTTAAGCTGGAGTTAATAGCTGCTGTACTGAGATCAGTCATGCATGATATTGGTGTCACGGACAAGACAATAATATATTTGGAAGGAGAAAACAGATTTGTCGTTTTTTGATTTCTTTTGGCATAGCTCGAGTAATAAACAAATATAGGTGTCTGAACCAAGGAGTTTACAATAGTCACAAAGTTAGTTTTATGCTGATCATATATTAATTATCTATGCATGTAGCTAATACCAAGGTTATTAAATTCAGGCCACCATTGTTCAGTGATCAAAACCGTAAAATCCTGGAGGATTGTTACAATGGCATAGTCCAGCCAGGTGCTGCGCCTCCATCAGTAGCCACACTGAGACTGCACATTAATGGTGTACAATTTGATGTGAATAATCCAGACCCTCACACTAGCCTCAATGAATTCATACGTAATCAGCAAGGCTTTAAGGGTTAGTATAGTAAGCAGTTGTTTGTGGTAGTGGCATGTCAAATTGGATCATTGAATTAAGTAAAGTATTCACTCTTATGTCAATCATTTCTTGTTGCTAGGCACTAAGGTGATGTGCAATGAAGGTGGRTGTGGCTGCTGTGTTGTTGCRYTGACAAGAATTGATCCATTAACAGGAAGAGAAATCACTCTATCAGTCAACTCTGTAAGTCTGAAAATCTCTCAGTTCAGTTGATAGTTTTTTTTAAAGGATTCAATTGCCACAGTATAACTACCCAAAGCAGTCAAGGGCAAATCCAAGGGGAGAGGGAACAAAGTGGGCTGACCCCCCGCCCCCTCCTCTTAGATAATATTTTCTCCTTTTGAATGTTCGATAGTAATACATGAATACAATTTTTTGTTTGTATTTTTTTTCAGTGCCTTTTTCCTCTGTATGCTGCCAATGGATGTGAAGTTACAACTGCTGAAGGCATTGGAAAGTAGGTCATTTTCTTTAAAGGAATTCAAAATCTACCATTCGCTTGTTAATTGGTAGTTTTACCAACATGATCACTTATATACTGACATCAACACTGAAGGCCATGTCCTCTAAACCCCTGACACAATTTTATTACAATTTTTCACTTTTCTTTGACAGCCGTAAGAATGGTTTTCATACAATCCAGAAAAGAGTTGCAGAGCACAATGGCAGCCAGTGTGGTTTTTGTACTCCAGGCATGGTGATGACTATGTACAGGTATTTACAGATCTGCTTGAGTTACTTCCATTTGTGATGATCAGAGTACATTGTGTTGTTTTTTTGTTTTTTTTAAGTCTCCTCAAAGAAAACCCCAAACCTACCAAACAGCAGATTGAAGACAGTTTTGATGGCAACATTTGTCGCTGTACAGGTATAATTGCTACCTTTTATGTATATATTTATAAAGGTCTATAAAGAAGCAAGGGTGTGTTACACTCTGACACTGATTAAGTGTTACAAAATGAATTAACAAATTGAAAAATAGCGGGCATGATGGTCTGGCAGTACCAACCCCTTGACATTCCAGGTCAGATTGCACCAAGCATGACCAAGCAATKATTTGATTCTTCCTTGTGCATCATTAAGGCATTTCTGAATATCTAAAAGTTTAATTCTGTGCTTTGTGCAGTCATATAAGGCTCCTGCTTTTTCCTACAGGTTATCGTCCTATTCTTGACGCTATGAAAACTTTTGCTGCTGATGCTCAACCAATAGACATTGAGGTACAGCAGACGAATGCAAATTTTAAAAATGCGTGCCTACCATTTGATGAATACATCACATCTTTGTATTTAATGGCTGTGAAGCTTCCTTCTCTTTCTTCTTGCTTTTTAAGAGTCATTATTTTATGTTACACTCATTACAGGAGTTGAGCAAATGTGTCGGCAAGTGTGAGGACTGCAAGTGCAAACGACAAAGAACGGTACCAGAAAACACATCWGGTGTTGAATGGTACGCACCAACATCGCTTGCCCAACTGTATGCCATCCTGGAAAAACACAGGGAGAACAACGTTAAACTCATTGCTGGAAACACTGGGAAAGGTACGTTKACACACTACATCTTATTACACTGCTCTCCACTCATCCCAACGTCTKACTCTTAGCTCCACCTTAGCGCATATCTCAGTAAAATACATCTTACTATATGTTACACCTTTGCATGTACATAAGGTTGTTGYGGTAGSAAGTTGTTCTTGCTGGAGATGACTAGTGTCAGTGTTATTTTCCGCTTTTGTTAAGGTGTTTACAAGGAWGAAGGTCCATTCCAAGCSATGGTTGACATCAATGCTGTACAGGAATTRCATTGCTCAACGGTAASAAATATTTGCACRTCCAAAKTGATAATCTAATTGGATRTTCAAGGGCATGGTATMAWCGATYAAGAGAAATGCAATGTCAGTCTCAGTTGGYGKTCATGYTGTGACATGAAGTTGTACCATCGAATTKCMATATTATTTCTAATGTAGCTGAGCGTTTCTCATATTTYATTCCAGGAAGTCAGCAGTCATCTTCTTGTGGGTAGTAGTGTATCCCTAAACTCATTCATCAATCTTTGTGAGTCAAAATCCAGTAAATCYTCATCGTTTGGTGCCTTTGCAAGACATCTCAGAGTGGTAAGGCATCATCGTGTGTAAACAGYCGGKAATAACAGCAATGACAACTGAGCAGCAGCAACAACAAAAACAAAAGAAACAGCMACTTACTAAGATGCATTATCTCTTTATAAACCATTTCTCGTAAACAACAAACTTGACAGCTAGTTTCTGGCTGTAATAACATATCCAATGWGWACCTACCTCGATAGYCTAACCAMATCTAAACACTGTCTTATTTGCAGGTTGCCAACACTCATGTGAGGAATGTAAGTACAAAAGTTTTTTTTTTCCTGGAAACTTGTCTGTAAGACACTTAAAACACTTTTTTTAAGATTTGTTATCTTTCACTTATAATATCTTATGACTTGTTCATATTACCTGGATAATCATACTTACTTCCTTGTACATCAGGTGTTTTACGTTTTGTTCTTTTAAAGGTCGGTTCTCTTGGTGGCAATCTCATGCTTGCACATGCGCACAAGGACTTCCCATCAGACTTAATGACAATCTTTGAAGCTACTGGGGCATCGTTGTTAATTGGTTAGTATTGGCAACTATACAACAAAGTATCATTCAAGACCAAAATTGAAGAACAATTGACCGCACTGGATAAGAATAAAATATAGACAATTTGKGAGGAAACCATTTCGTAGTATAGTGAATACTGAAAACACACACCATTCTGGACGTMATTTTACAATACGTACTTTGATGTTTAACAATAATCTGAAGTTGTTTTATTCTAGGTGGACCATTGTTRACTCAGGTTTCATTGAAAGAATTCAAGAATACTGACATGAAAGGAAAGGTACGTTCAGAGAAACCTTTGAAGGTTATTTTTTAAAAGGAATTCAGTGTACAGGGTTCTTGTTAGTATATAGTTTGGTAATTCTATTCGTATTGAGACTAAAAATGCTAGTATTAAAGCATTTTTCACAATCACACTGTATTTCAGTTTTTCATATTTTAAAAAAGGTGATAGTGGCCATTGCATTGCCATTCCTCCCAGAGAACGTCTTTGTCAATTCGTTCAAAATCACGCCAAGATCTCAGGTAAAGRTCATGTTCATATTGAATTTAAATCTTGCTGACAACACATAACTAACKCGCRAGCGTTTGTTGCAGAATGCCCATGCATACGTTAACGCAGGATTTGCCATTCCAGTCGATAGGGAGACCATGACTGTCTCTTCACAACCGCGGATGGTTTATGGCGGCATTACTTACAACTTTGTAAGAATTTGAATCATGGAACTCCTTTATATTTGCCTTGGCTTTGTCTTTTTTTTTCTCCTTAATTCTCTGTCTTTTTGTCTCTCTCTTCTCGTTCTCCAAATCATCTCCTTTCCTTGCACTATCTCTTCCTTCCTTTCTCCATCTCTCCCGTCTTTACTCCATATTTTCAATCATCTCTTCCTTCCTTCTTGCATCTTATCCTTTTTTCATGTCTTCTTGTTTACTTTGTGACTGTAGTTCCATGCTGAAAACACGGAAAAATTTCTGGTTGGAAAAAAACTGACAGATCCAAACACACTCAMAGGTAAGTCTCTTTGAGTGATAACATAAGTTATTAGCTTGGAGGAAGGTCTATGTAAGCAGACCAAAACGTATAAATTACATATCTGAAAGGCAATGTGTTTCATTTCCATAGTAACATAATCATATTTTGCTTCTCCGACAGAGGCTCTTGAGATTCTTGATAAGGAGGTCGTTCCTGAACCTAAGTTCATTGCACATAATGGAAGCACTGTGGCATACCACAAGGATCTAGCCTTGACCCTCTTTTATAAGGTACCAATTTCATCTTATTAATGATGATGATGTTATCGTAATGTGAATGGTGGTGATGATGATTATAGTAGTGGTAGAGAGCAGCATATTGACCTCAATTTGGTWGGGATGATGGCATGATGACTCTATTTGTTTTCCAGGCCTAYATCGGAGCACTTGGTGATCATGCACCTGATAGGCTGAAGTCTGCAGCAAGGTCGATTCTCCAAGAAAGAGCTGTTTCAAGCGGTATTCAGAACTATGAGTCCAAGCCCGATAGGTACCCAATCAGCAATCCAATGACAAAGATTGCTGCTAAACTCCAGGTATGGAGGGTAAAATGTGTAATCTTATGCTATTCCATAGTTGTATTATTTGTGTCTTCGCCTCTTTATATGTGCCTTTATCCTTCCTTAAAATTCTTTCCTGATTGTTTGGTTTGGTTTCACAGGCCGCTGGAGAAGCTCAGTATGTCAATGACATCCCGTCCAGTGAGGGGGAGGTGTATGGAGCTTTTGTTATCAGCACTAAGGTATACATGTACTATAGTCCACCCTCATCGAATAATAATTAATTATTGTACGGTGCCTTATTACTTTATTGAATAAGGTCAAATGGTCGTCCGGCGCCAAAATATATTGCGCTCCTAATTTGAATGCCTTTCTTTATTTAGGGTAATTGTAAGCTTGATAAGGTGGATCCATCAGAGGCACTGGTGAGGAATATTCTGTCCTGTTATAAATGTTGTGTTACAGTGTGGTATTACGTACCTTCTGGCTGTTTCTTGATATATTTTTGTTTTCTTGTTGTAGGCAATCCCTGGCGTGATAAGTTACTTTGATGCCAATGACATCCCAAAGGATGGAGTCAATGAAATCAAATTTTTCAATTTGCCTGGACCCTCAGAGGGAGTGAGTACTGGCATAGTTTGATAAATGTATGTATATTTTTACTATATTGAATTCTATTGCATTCTTAGGTGTTCTGTAAAGGCGAAGTCTTGTATGTCGGCCATGTAATTGGTATGGTAGTTGCTGGTAAGGAACATCTTAATTATGCCTGCCTTGCGTCCCTCATCTTTGTCAACTTTCATGCATGAACCCCTAAATACTTCGTTTAATTATTCCCAACGTTCCCCCCTTCCATTCATCTTGCTCAATACYTCTTCCTTCATCTTTTTCTATCTTCATTTTCCTCCATTTTCCCTATCTTCCTTCTCACTGATTCCTTTTTCCGTTCTTCTTCCCTTCGGTTTCCCTCTTTACACTTGATCGTTTGTTCTTCCTTTTATTCTTTTCATCCTCTCTCTACATTTCCCTGGGCATCTCATAGATTCGTTATTTGTCTAATCAACGCGGTTTGTTTATCAGACACTCAAAAACTTGCTGACCACGCTGCTAAGGTGGTAAAAGTAACATACAAAGACTGCAAGCCTCTTATTTTGACATTTGAGCAGGCAATCGAAGCCAAGTCATATTCTCCTCCATTGACCCCTCCATGGTCGTTCTTAATGTCTGACATCAATGTTGGTGATGCAGAAGGTAAAACATACATAATCTCTCTGTTGTTTGTTGTTTTTTTTCATTTCTACAGAACTCAATCAGTCTTCCAGCACTGTCATGTGTCAAAAGAACATTGATTCTTAACAATTTTCAGAGTCGATGAAGTCAGCAAAGCACGTGATCACTGGAAAGGTTGAGTGTGGTGCTCAGCATCATTTCCATATGGAAACACAGGTATCCCATCACTTTTTATTATAATGTGTGATGAACTAGGAATCTATTCAGTATATTCGATCAATCTTTTCTTATTAAATGAGTGCAAGGTAATCATTACTACTTATAGTTTGGAATTGTTTACCATTTTTTAAGGTTTGTCTCAGTGAACCAAAGGAAGACGGAATCACTGTCTACAGCGCTACTCAAGGAATATCCTTTGTCCAGAAAGGCATTAGTGAATTTTTAGCCGTAAAAGCGACCAGGTATATTTAGCTTGCTCAGTGCTCTGTAACATTTTTCAATAACACTGAACAATAATTAGATATATTTGATCAAATAAAGTCTTTTTATTTCCTCCTCATACAAATGAGAAATTTGAGTGAAGATGTTTTTAATTATCGATCTCCTTGAACAATAGATAAAATTGTCGTTCACTGTTGATCACTGTTGGGTAAAAAGATTTATGTAGGGCAAACYTCGGGATCACTGAAAACAATACCCTGATAGATACTGTTTATTCTACAGTGTGGATGTGATTGTCCAGAGATTAGGTGGTGCTTTTGGCGGGAAGGGATTACGATCGCTTCAAGTAGCTTGTGCATGTGCATTGGCCGCTAAGATACTAGACCGGTAAGTGCTGCTATTGTTTGACTAAGAAAACCAAAATAGACTAGAAAGTCATAATTTATTTAATTGCAGACCTGTGAAGATGAAAGTGAACTTTAATACCATGATGGCTAACCAAGGTGGAAGGTCACCACACATGGCGAAATACAAGGTATCTTTTTTTGGTGTAGAGATTAGGGGAATCACATCATGTGATCGATTGAGTATATTRCAGAAGCAACGCCGGTAATCTAGAAGTTAAATATTGATATTGTGCACTTGTAGGTTGCCGTGAACGACAAAGGAATCTTACAGGGTGTGGAGATGGAYTACTACGTTGACACTGGGTGTACAGGCGAAGATAACGATCTCTTGGCCACCACAGGACATATTGATAATTGTAAATATGTTCTGTTTCTATTTGTTGTATTCTTAATGCATACCYATCTAACGATGCTACTTTGGTACTAGTGTACTACTGTCCAAACTGGAAAGTTAACTTTCACACCTTGCTGACCAGCAAAGCCAGTACAACATTCTGCAGGGCACCAGGTCAGGTGGATATTGGTTAAGGCTTTATTGGATCTGTTGACGATCGTATATTTTCTGTTTTAGGATGTGTGCAAGGTGTTTTTATAATGGAATCTATTATGGAGCACGTTGCTAAGGCACTCAACAAAACACCAGAAGAGATTAGAGAAAAGAACTTGTACGAGGAAGGTCAGGTAGGAAGGGTTTGGTCAATGAATGAATCAATCAATTAAGGGTCATACTGAAAGTGGTTTGATTCATCCATGCTCCATCATTCAATCAAGCAAATTAATTCAATGATTTCTCGTTTTTATGTAGAAAACCCCAAGTGGTCACCCGATTCCMTACTGCAGCATCCGAAAACTGTGGAAAGGTAAGTTAATTTATAAACAAAAAATAATTTTTTTTATCTCTGTGGCTGTAGATATTTTTATAAATCTTCCTCAGGCCTTGCAGTCTAAATATACCAAATATTACAGGCGTTTGCATTTCTTACATTCCATGAGTCTTATGAATCGTTCGTAGACATCACCAAGACATCAGAAGTGAAAAAGAGGCAGAAGGAAATTACAGAGTTTAACAAGGTGAGCGTTATGTAATAAAATCATGATCGATAATCAAGGGATATGTACTTCTTAATCAGTGATTGATGTATTGCATAGTTACATTGCTGAATATGATAGCGATTCTGGGTATTTCGAAAATACATAATTCACCATGAATATTGATTCCCAGGCAAATCGTTGGAGGAAACGTGGATTGGTTCTTGTTCCTGGTAAATTCAACATCGAGGCATCTTTCACCCAATACACCGTRTTCGTGTCGATCTTCAGTGCCGATGGAACTGTTGCCATCCAACATGGYGGCGTAGAGATGGGACAAGGAATCAATGTCAAGGTATATCATTGTTCCACTATTACTGTGTGATTATTTGTTTTCGTTTTATGGTTTGATGGTGTYAATATTGATTTCTTTAAGGTGGCTCAAGCTGCTGCCTATGTACTAGGCGTTCCCATGGAGATGATAATCGTTAAACCAAATCATACCGTGTTCTCTCCTAACTGTAAGTATGACGTCGTGGTTTCTGCTAAACGAAAAATAGTACAGACACAGAATAATAATTTTACTGTTTGTGCCTTGATTGATAAACAGCAGTTGTACACCCTGTGTTCACAATTAAGTTTTTTTTAAGCTTCGCCCACTGGAGGTAGTGTTGGAAGCGAAACCTGTGTCAAAGGTGTTATGGAGTGCTGCAAGATGCTGAACGAGCGTATCAAACCAGTSCGTGAAGCTAATCCAGGCGTTCCCTGGAAACAGCTGATAATGATGTGTGGTTTCCAGAAAGTCGATCTGTCAGCCAAATACCAGTAAGTTATATGGTAACTTCTGTTATAACTTCCATTTCACATTGATGAGAATATGTTAATGATGGTGGTGACCAGGAAGTGTGGATTGGAAAAAAAAGAGGATGGAAGGGAAAGTTTGTGTAGATTACTTGTAGAAATCGATATCATGTAATAATTATGGTATTTATCCAGTGCTCGTGGTGCGCCTAAGGAGGAAGACTATGTGGCCTATGGAGTGACGTGCACCGAGGCTGAAGTAGACATCTTGACCGGCGAGCGTCTCATCTTGAGGTCTGACATATTGTTTGACTGCGGAGAAAGGTTTGTATGTATAGGATTGTGTGACAATTCATGATAAATAAATGAGTTAATAATTAATATTTTGGATGAATTGATAATGGAAGTATAATCAAATTATGGTCAGGAAAATGATARTATAACCGCGTTATTCACTAGTTTGAATCCTGAGGTMGACGTTGGRCAAGTTGAAGGAGCCTTTATATTTGGCATGGGTTATTGGATGTCCGAGAAAGTCTACTACGATGAAGAGACTGGTGAAGAGCTGTCTACCGGGACCTGGGTAATTTAACAGCTGTCAATCATTATAGTATTATGACCATCACTGGCAGCTTTACCGAAATAACATAATTCTAATAGTTATCATATAACATCCTTTGTTGGAAAATCGAAAACGCTCTATCGTGATGATGTTAACACTTTTTCCTCCTATAGACCTACAAACCCCCAACAACCAAAGACATTCCTGTAGATCTGAGGGTTACATTTCTCAAAGATGCACCAAACCCTCTTGGTGTCTTAGGATCCAAAGGTAAGAAGAGTATTCAAATAAAATTATTTTAAATTGTTAATAAGCCAACCAGTMAATCCATTTCCTTCAACCCAACAGTCAAGTAACAAATTATCCGGTGATATCGGACCATATCCACCAACAAAGAAAACAATCAACTACCAACTATATGTTAACCTATCACACCTCMCTAAATCAAACAAAAAAGAACGCCCACAACATTAAAAAAATAACGGGCAACCACTTCAAAAAATCAATTATCCTTCTTACTGAACAACCAAAGCACCCACCAACACCTCTGCACTACAATGKAACTTCTCTAACTAACCAACCCTCTCATCAAGCATACACATATGACATGCTACATATTCAAATTAAAAAGCTTAACCAAATAAACCACTTCCCAACAAACAGGCCATGAATAGCTCATCCTATCAAAAAATAGCAAGAAACAAATCAAAACATATTAGCAACTATCAACGTCGTAATCAACTCTGTCAATTTTGTAGCTTCTGGAGAACCACCATCTACCATGTCATGCGCATGTCTGTTTGCTATCAAACGTGCAGTGGAAGAGGCCAGGAAGGAATCTGGAAATGATGTCTACTTCACTCTAAGTACGTTTGATTATTAAGTAGTTTGATTATTTCGTAATTATTATATTTGCAAGATAATGATTGTCATGAGTTCATATGTTTAAACTAACGAGTGTCTTGAGTGTCTAGATCTCATTRTCAATGTRTTGTTGTTTTTCAGACGGTCCAGCAACAGTTGAGATGACMCAGCAGAGTGCTTTGATACAACGTGAACAGTTGTCTCTTGATCCARGTGTCAAAAAAGGCCAATGTTTCCTGAGTAAAAAATAAACAAACTATTCACAGGCTAAACACGTAATTAAATTACGTKCACTGTGTACTCCTATGAGTGTAATCATCATCTCTTGATTATTGTAGAGTATTTCATAGCTAACCTAAGACAAAACGAACAGTACAGTTTTATCAACGACGAAAACATAAAATGTCTGATAAAATATTGGTTGAAAATATTGTAGTATAGTTGCAAGTATAGATAAGAACAACAAAGTTCTTTGCATTTAATTGAAGTTAGTATTGTATGACATATACAAAAATAAAGTTTTTTTAAAACACTTAATTGTTTATAAACTTTTATTTTATCATTTTCACTAATTTTAGTAAGATATAGTCCAAGCAAATTGCTCAAAATCA